CGGTGTGCACCGTACGGCGTACTCGACGAGTATAACGCAACAATAAGCCGGGCGTCGTCGCCGCCGTCGTACAAACTGTACCCGTTATACATAGGTATACGACAAACGCAAACTAATATATTATAATAATATTATGACGTGAGAAGGGCGAAGGAGACGAAATCGAGGGGGTATGATATTTTCCACGACGAAATTTCCAAAAATATTATGCGTAACTTATATGAAAAATACGACATCAAAATTAAGTCACGCCGACCCTCTTCGCTCCGCGCGGCAGTGCAGATTTCCATCTTAAACGAATCTCGTTATTGTTATTACTGTTATTATTATTATTATTATTATTATTATTATTAAAGGGGAGAAAACCGTGCAGGCAGCGACAACGACGACGATTCTTCGGCGAAACATTTCCCCGGGCGTGGTATATAATATACACACACATATTTTTTTTTTTTAAGTTTTAAAACGAGGAGGGTATTTGTTTTGGAAAAACTACTCGGTGAGGGGCTGATGGTGTGCAGCGCTCGCAAAAAGTTATGGTTGGTAAATCGCTAAAAACTGCGGCACTTGACGACTTAACAACGGGCCATTTGCTCCTCTCTCTCTTTATAGGACGATCTCTACAATCTGTGTACCGATTAACTCGACCCTCGAGCACTTGTTTTTCGGATTTTTTTTTTTTTTAAATCACCTCTGCCGTGATATTCTATTAACACCCACGAATCCGCATTGCTGATGTCGACACGTTGACAGTATCGATCATAAAATCGTTTTTAAAAATAAATTGGAATTACGAAAATCAATAAGGTGATTCTTTCATCCAGAACCGGACGGAAATTTCAAGTAAATTTGATTTTGGTTTTTTTCTTCAGACATTGTATTATATAATCGTTTATAACGGTATCATTTACAATTTTTTTTTTTCTAAAACCTTACTCTGTGTAGTGTGTGCTATACCATAGATATCCATACCCACATGGAAAATTGAGTATCCGCCTAACATAAATGAAAAAAAAAAAATTACGCGCTGTGCTAGGTAAGTAAGTGACAATTGAAAACACGTAAAACGCCATTTTTGGATCTTTGTATTTTTCGGTATAGTATACTATTATGTCCTCATCATTTTAGGGTTACTACAGTGGACATATAGTTTGATTTCTGTATTGTACGATAATCTATGGTAACACGAATGAAAAAATGTATGATACACTAGAACACTTTTAGTCCACTTTTAGTGGGTAGTCACCCACTTTCCACATATTTTTTTTCAGTTCAATTTACTAATGCGGACATAGCAAAACGGAAATAAAGTAAAAATAATAAAACATTAGTGCGGACAAAGCCGGGCGCGGGACAGCTAGTAGGACATATATCGTGAGAGTATAGAACTTAGATCAGATGAGTGGCGAAGCGTTGATTTTGATAATTATTATTCTTCCGTATACGTCGCCCGACCAAGATTCCTTGGCTTAGTACGTACAGAATCTAAATTTTCAACCCGTAAGACCATCAATATTCATCTAATCGTTAAATATTATTTTATTTTTTTTTTAAGATTACGATTATTTTAATTATTTTTGTTGAAACGTGTGTATACACGGCATCATTATGCGTAAATCATGGTTCATGTGTCTCTCCTCCAACTCAAAAAAAAAAAAATAAATAAATAAATAGTTTTACTGATACCTATATTTGGTGCAAATGTAGGACTGAGTATTTAATAAGCAATTATTATGGAACACATTGTAAAAATATCGTTTTAATTAATTTTATCTCTAATTCTCTGATGCATTTAATTGTGTACAAACGCGAATGCGTTCTTCTTTAACACAAGAAAAACTAAATTGGTTAAGTACAATTTTGAATTTGCAAAAAAAAAAAAATTATTGCGATTTGCAGATTAAATTCGAACTTGGTATATCCTGATTTAAATGGAATTGTTTTTCTAAAAAAACATTCTTACCTATTTATTTTTCTTACAGATCCTACATTTTTATATATCAGCACCTGTGTATATACGAATAAACACGACGACGACGACGATGTTCGGATGACAAAAATGTTGGATTGAAATTAACTACAATCCGATGGTCACGCGCATCTGGTCGACACGTGTTTACACATCTAAATTATTGTTCGAAACTAATCCACCAATAATTTTAACGCGTATAAGATGTATTATTCTGACGTCATAACATTCGAAACTAGCCAAAACTCACGATTGTTATTTTACACGTACCGCAGTTAGTGTAATAAAAAAATAAAAACAAAAATTGTGGTAAGGCGTCATAAATATTTATACCTTACACGCCTATATCAATCATGGTAGTATCCAATTTATTGAGGAGAATTTAAAAACTAAATATCCTAGTCGAAATATAATGTGCACTTATATGTGTACACCGGTATAGTGACTAGAATGCGTGTGTTATAACGACGCGGTAATGATGCACATGCATTGACTAAGTACCCAAAGCGCAGGTAAATTTCGGATACATTTGGCTAATAAATGTTTTTTTTTTCCTGTCTATACAAACGTACATTTGAACTGATATTTAAATTGTGTAACTAATTATTTATGGTAATTTATCAAGTTCCTGTTCAAATATTCAATTTATGTCCACAAACATAAAAAGAGACAACAAGTTTTCGTTAGTATTTTAAGTTGTGATATTTGGATAGAAAAGTAAAGACCGATGGTTACGTTTTGGTATTGAAATATCAATCGATACTAATTTAGTATTCAATTAGAAAACAAAAAAGGAAACGGATTGTTGTACGTTAAATTATCAAGTATCCGTTTCGATTTATGTACGTAATGCATTATAACGAGTTTACCGGGTAAATGCCGAGTATTTACCGAAAAAAATGTTTACCACTCTGTTAACTTACTCCGCCGAGAACCATATTTTAAAGGACGTCTCGAAACGCGGTCGGAATTCGTAAAACAATAATCATTTAGTACGAATTGTACAGGATTGATTTAGTGCTGGACGCTTTTATTTGTCTCGCATAGAAGACATTGTACCGTTACACGAAACAAATTTATTTTTACTTGAATTCCCTTATAATGTATTCAGGTGCTAAAAATTTTTCATTTTTTTTTTTTTTTTCTACATCGATTATTTATAACAGTCGCCGGTTTTAATTATTATAATCAAACGAGAATAATAATTACAGTTGACATTCTGCAGTAGAGCATTAAAACAACCAGTTATATATTGTATTATATTGTAAAACGTACGGTTTTTTAACTGTTCGTTTTTACGAGCCACTGTGTTTTTTTTTTTTTTTTTTTAAATCGCTCGGTAAATGCTTCAAACGGAGAGAGGGTTGTTTTTTTTTTTTTGCTCCAACATTAAAATGACTTTTTTTTTTGTAGAAATGTGTGCGATAGGAATATTAATTTTGGACCGAGTTCACGTTAAATTATTCCCCCACGAATTTTTAATAATTTTCTCCGACCTTAAAAAAAAAAATATATAATAATAATAAATATAAATATAATATGTACACGATGTCGCTGCAGTATCCCGGAAAAAATCTCGAGCTTTTTATCAAAAGAGTTAAAGAAACGGGCGGAGGAAATGGAAAGCGTGTCGAGGGTCGGCAGAAGAGGTAATAAATAAAACAGCCGTCCTAAGGTGATAATAAAAATAAATTAACAGCGGGACTACGGTGAAAAAAAAAAAACGAAATGTGAGAGAAATAAGAGAAATATGAAATTCTAATTTTTTACACGGTCCCTTATATTCGTATAAAGGCCAGCCAGTTGATTTAAGACCGGCGCGCGGCGGCGTGTTGCGCGCATATAGCTAAAATGTTTTTATACACGAGTGTATATCTGTAACGTTTTGCTTTCGTTATAATTCATAAAGACTTGGGAAAAAAAAAAAAAAAAATTAAAAACACTCGGGACAGGCTAGTAACAAACAGTTTATTAGACCCGAGGGACACTGCGCGCGCGGCAACGACGATGACGACCTACGCGCGTTTATCTTCTGATCTCCGGATGACAAGACGGAGTCGTTTCCCACTCGCCCTAAATGAATAATTATAAAAAATATAGTGGTTGGTACACGGCGATTAAACTCAAATAGAAAAAGGAAAAACGCACGTTTTTTTTCTCCTATTTTAGACTTTCCGAGGGCCGCTGGTTTTATATGTATGCGGATTAAAAAAAAAATAATACTTCGCTAACGTCGTAGGGGAATTTTCGTGGAATCGTCGATCTTGTCGGTACGTTGATAATTTGTTCACGTTCCGGGAATACTAACGCAGCGCCGGTTTCCCGTCAAAATCGACTTCGTTTAACCGTACTTGCAATTATCGTACTTCAGTAAGAAAACTCAGTTCGATATCTGTGTTCGCTACAATAATTTGTTTCGTGTGCACGTGGAAATGTCCAAAAACTCGAAACAAGACAATCGCAGAAAATTTGTTCATACTGGTAAAAAAAAGTTAACAAATTTGAGCGCGGTTTCTCAATTTTTCACGTTGCTATGCTTTTGAATTAGTTACCTATTCGAAGATTAAATGTATAACGAAATCCGTGTTCAAATTGAAATCGAAAAATTGTACTCGATAATCGTAATTTTCCTATTTAAATATTAGCGAAACAAAACGAGCTTCACACTCGGAACCTTATTCCGTTCGGTGTTATGATATTTTTTGCACAGTGGCGTTGAAAACCGAAGGAAACGTCCTCCTTGGGCTTCTTGTGACCTTTACAACTCTAACTGGTTTCACCGCTAACGACCGCATAACGCCATCTTGGACCGCGTATCTCGGCTCCCGCTCCTAGGTTCCTCTCCTAGGCCATCTCCGATAACGCCGATCCGCCTTTTCGCGGATCTTCCACGCGGTCTCTCCCCTCCTGACGCTTCCGTTCTAAACTGCTCGTCCTCTAATCTCCGCGTTCTATAGCCCCGGGCCGTCGTATAGTCTCTGTCCTTCAACCACACCGGTCGCCGACGACGACATCGCGAAATCTACCGTGTCGCGCAAACTCTCACTACCCCGCGCGTACCTCTTTTGCCAATTATTTTTGTTGTCTCGTCGTAAACAGGACCGCACAGATCCAAAACGGTTGGTGACATAATTGTTGTTGTCGCGCTATACGTTTTACGATGGACGTTTAGCCGAAATGATTGCGGTCCGTCAGTGTGCGCGCCATAACGGACAAATCTAATATAATTGTTCTTGTTGCGACGGCGGAATGTAAAACGCAACGGATTGCACTTGTGAACCGGCGTGTGTGAGTCGGTCGAAAGCGCGCGAGGAAAGAAAATGGACGGGGGACCGGGGGAGACGTAAAGTCGCGGGACGAGGAGCACGGCGAAAAAAAAAAAAAAAAAAAAAAAAAAAAAAAAAAAGTAAAAGAAAAAAAAACCGTCGTCTTGTTTTTACGCCGCCCGCGTAAATCGCACCCCTAATAATGGATTGTCTCGGGCATTATTGCCCGGGACCCTTTCCGTCCGCCGCCGCGCCGCCGTTGATCTGGTTACATTTATCATACAGAGACCAATATACGACGAGGCGAGCCGATCATTTTTCACGCGCCGCGACCGTGTACAGTCAGTTGCGCGGCACATTCGATATACGGCTCGAAGGAAAATCTCGTGGAAAAAAAAAAAAAAAATAAAAAATCGTATTAATATCGTCTCGGGCAACAAGCGGCCGAATTCGCGGGCGTGGTCTCGTGTACACACGCGCGCACACACACACACACACACACACGTTTATATATATATATATATATATGTATATGTAACCGACCCGGAATCAACGACGAGATTGGAAAATGATATATATAAATATAATATATACGGGGGAAAAATTGGTCGTAGATTTATAGCCGTCCGCGGATTAGACCGCCCGCCGACCGTCCCTACCGGCAGATTCATTTTTTCCCATCTATATTTATAAGCGTATCACATTTTATTGTAGCCAAATTGGTTTACCGCGACGACGGCCGACGCACGCCCGCCGAAATATATACCCCGTTTTTATTTTACATAAAAACCCGGTTTTCGGTTGGTCGGTTGGTTGGTTGGTTGGTTTTTTTTTTTTTTTTTGCCGCGATTACAATCGTGACATTATCCGTCGCTCGGTGCGGTCCCGAGACCACTCGGGCCGCTCCCCGAGAAAATCGGAACAACGTCACAGATAATCGGTAGTCTTTGAGCGATAATTGCCGAAGCCACGGCTCCAGAATCGGTTCCGACCGACGTCCGTGGTCCGGCGCGGTATAATTTGAGAAGACGTGAAATACGAAAAAGGCCACTGGCAAGACGAGACGACTGTTAACGCGAATTCGATGGCTCTGAGCACCGGCCGGAGGGAAGCGCCGGAAAATCTGTTCGACGGGATGATCGTAAAGACCGTAAGCCCCGGGAAATTTGTATACCGGACGTAATAACTACACTCGTCCTTCCGTTTCCCACCGTCTCGAGTCACTCCGCCGAAACGCTTTGTCTCTAGCCGTCTCGATTCCATCTTGCTTTCGCCATTCCGCCTTTGCACCGGCATAGACGTCTCTGCTCGGCACTCCGGTTTTGGACATTATTTCTATCGACTCGGACCCTGTCACGTGGCCGACCGTGTCCAGTCTCTTCTGTCGGGATTCGCCGCCGCTTTATTAGGTTTCCCGAATAACCGCCGCGTTCCTCCGCTCGATATTATTTCTTCCGAAATTTTCGATAACGCCGCGGAGTCGGTTTATTAATAAAAGTCCGTCCGTGTAATGATAATGTCGTCTCGTTGTAAAATTAGCATGTACACGCGTGGACTACAACGAAAAGGGTCAAGTGGGGTAATAGTGGGTACTACGCGCTTAAGACCGAATGTTATAATACACGAGGGGTGCGTTGGAACGAGCATAATGGAATATAATATACGCCGGCGTTCAAAGGGTGCGATTGCCGCTCGTATTTCGGAAACGCTATACTGTCTTATCGTACCGTAATTACCGTGTTTTGTCTGCGGTAAACTTACGAGATTTAAATTTCACAGCGCTCCGCGGTTGCGGTATGGAGTTTTACGGACCGAAAGCCCGGAAAAAAAACTTTTCCGACAATTCTCGTCGGAAAACCGGCTACTAATCCAATAAGGGTCAGAGCGGAGAACACACCGCGCTGTTATATATATATATATATATACGTACCCTAGATCTCCACGTCGTTCACATCGCGTCCAAGACGCACGGTGAATGACAATTCGGTCCTAATTACGTTTCTTTCGGCCCTCTCATCCCGCCGATCCGATCCGTTCTTGTCGCGGGCGACGCATCCGGACCGTCCGCGAACTTCGTCACACTTCGTATATAATATCACTGCGCACCTACGTAGTACATTATCGTGCGTGGTGAATTCGAAAGCACGTTTCGAGTTTTCGAAAACAATGCCGTAACAGAGTTTGTACGGTTTTATCGGCGAAAAGAAAAAAATAATAATAATAAATACGGCGGCTGCGTGGTGGTGGCAAATAATCGATTTTAGACATTTTTTTTTTTTTTTTTAGAAAAATAACGAATACCGCGCGTGTAGGGCGAAACCGACGGAGGCGAAAAGTGGGGGAAAATTCATATTTTCGAGTTTTCGTATATTATATTCAGCCTCGACTTAGTATTCAAAGCACAATCGTCGGCGTTCGCGGGAAAACCGGAGGAGTATAGACGCGACGAACGAACACACACACACACACACACACAGTCACAAATGTACGTCATTCCCGACAATTTTTCTACCATCGTGTAATATTGTTCAATTCGTTTTTCTCTTATTTATTTCTCTCTCTCTCTCTCTCTCTCTCTTTCTCGTCTATTTTCCTTTCTTTTTACTTTGCTTGCAAATATTATTCTTAACTTGATAATAACAAAACTGAACCGATAAAAAAACAAAAAAAAAATAACCTTAAACGAACTTTATTCGTTTTTTTTTTTATTTGTTTTATAAATGTTTTAGTACAACTTTTCAAAACCATAAATACCGATATAACGTTACCTATAGAACGATGATATACGATAATTAAACGTAGTTTCAGATTTCCAAATGTTAGTTCAGAAAACACCTTATATACCTCCACCGTGGCCGTCCGTTATTATTATTATAGTCGTATGCTCGTCGTACGTTTTTTTGCCTTAGTAAATCAACGAAACGTAACTGACCACCACCACGAACAATGGGAATACAGATATTTAGCTTGTGCCTAAACAAAACGGTTCGCTTAGTTTTAACTAAAACGTTTTCCGCCCGCCGGGCTAGTTTTACGTTTCATTGAAAAATAACTGAATTCTATGATATCATCCCTGAAACAACTAGCAGACAGCCTGCACACATTATCCACACGCGCATCGTCGATTTCCCTAGTATAAAACCAAACTTGTTCTCGGATATCGGCACGTTGTATATTTGATATTGTCTCACGTCTAATTCTCGTTTCCGCAATCTTTTCCCGAATCTCCGTGCTATAACTCATCAATTTTATTCTTTTTAATTTTTTTTACACATTCGCGGATATCTCCATTGCCTTTAAATGCACATACGTATATAGGTACCGTAAAAGTCTTTCTCTAGTTGTCAATTATATTTCCTCTTACTAGCACTTTATTAAAAAAAAAAAAAAAAAATGTTGGGATTATAATTTATTGTTCGAAATATGTTCAGAAACCCGAAAATTTGCACGCACGCACAGTACGCTTTTGTTCATTCGAATCGTATAAACTTCGTCGTCACGGTCGTACGAATTACAAAGCGATGTTGGTATTTTATAAAAAAAAAAAATGTTATTTTAAGATATTAACCGCGCTCTAATAAAATTAACTAATCTCGGACCGACTAAATAATTGTCCGTCTGTATTTCAATTATCGTCGCGCATACGCGCTCTAAGACTTTTTGATGTATTTGTTAATAAACTCCAGTGCAATGCAAGTCGAACGTACGAAATTAAATTTTCCGTTCTTACACTCGCATTACTCGTCGTGACCCACATTTCGTATTGTTTCGTTCGTTAATTACGCAATATGAGAAACTTTGATAAAAGCATAATTACAATTCGATTACGCTGTTTTCCCGACTCGTCGTCTAAGTTATCGATCGCAATTGTATTACCGAAAACGACGAATTTCGAAACTCGGATTCGTTAGCAAACGCACAACGCGTTATTGCAAGTTTGAACGTTAAATGGCCGCGATATGGCCGAACAAAACTATCCGGACGCGCGCGCCCGTTTGGAATCACTACGATTCCGCGACAGTATACGTTTACTTCGTTCTGACGTCGCGACATTTGAGAGTTTTCGAGAGAATTATCGGACATTGAATTTGTTTGTTTGTTTTTTTTTTTTGTTCCATCTGTCCAGCGGACCGTTGACGCGATTGAAAACGATAAAAATCGTCAATTACGACGAAAACGCGTAGCTCCCACCGAACTCCGAGACCACGGGCGGCCGAACGCACACTCGCGCTCGCATCTCGTCTTCGCGCGCGGTTTTCGAATTTCGACGGACACCGAACCGCTGGCATTCGCCGCAAACCGCTCGACCCGGCGAGTCGCGGTGTTCGCGGGCGACCGGTCCGCGCCGGGCTGCCGGTTATCGGCCCGACTCGGTACCGCGTCGCCCCGTAATCGTAAAGTTCTCCGAAAGCGCCCGGGCGTCGCGGCGTTTAACAACGACACGCGTGCGTCCCCGCGCACATTATCGCGATCGTTGTCGTTGTCGGTGCGCGCGCGCAAGGTGCACGCTATTCGTTTCGGTTTCCGCGCGCCCCGGCGGTTCCCGCGTAACGCGGTCCCATTAAGTTTAACGGCTGTTTAAATTGTACGTGCGCGCGTGCAAACGGGAGGGGAGTGGGGGGGGTGGTGGTGGTGGTGGTGGGGGAGACGGCCGGGCGTCTTGAACGGGAACACCGCGGCGCCGTGGCCGCGCGGGTCGGCGGCGGAGGCCGAAATCTAATCTAGACGCGGAGCGCCAGGAAATTGTGTACACGCGAGACGATATTATTATCATTATTATTATTATTAAGGGAGCAGCGAGCGTTATGATATTATTATAATAATAATACCGTACAAAACGGTTCGGAACGTCTTCGGGCCCCGGGACCCGGCAGCAGTTATTATTTAAATGCGAACACACTCGCGCTCGTAATACACGCGTTTATGTAATAATAATAATAAGTGCGCGCGGGCGTGCGAAACTCGTATAATGAAACCGTAAAATTATGCGAATTCGACGTTATCCGTTCGGCGGCGGCGGCGGATTGGATTTCGTTTTGCGCGACCGAGTCACGTTCGAAATAACGAAAATTATCGCGAGCGATTTTATTATCGCGTCTAGCGCGCGCCGATAAATGTCGAATTCTTATCGGAGTACGGTTCAGCGGTATCGATACAATATTGCGTACGCATTACGTGTTTATACGCGGGCGGAGGATTAAAAAAAAAAAAAAAAAAAAAAAACGCGAGCCGCCGAGCCCCCGGGGTCCGGATTTACTTCCGGCCGGTTCGCCGCCGTTCCGTTGTTTCGCCGTTCCGGTATATTTTATCTATATTTCAAAGGGCGGATTCGAGGAATCGAACGGAGAAACGGACCGCCGCCGAATAGGTAACCGCAGTTCTCGGGGTCTTCACCGGCGCGCAACACAGACGACACGGCCGGGCACTGGAGCAAGTTCCGGATTTCTAAACGCACAACAATTATGTTTACGTCTACGCGTTTTACGCCAAGTCTTTTCAAGGTTTCGCGGCTCTGCCGGGCCATTCGAAATCCGCTATTTTCTATAAAAAAAAAACGCGAAATTCGCGTGCATACAAATGGACGGAGAGGGGGATAAAAGTTGAAACCGCCGAAACCGCTCTTCTCTGTTATGCACGCCCTTTCCCGATACTTTTTCCAAAAACGAATTGTTGAAAATCCTCAAATTCGTCACGCAGTACATCAAACGATTCGGAATTTCTGCTCGGTGGTACATTATTTCAAATACCTATAGACATTTGCAGGGGTTTACTGCTTAGAGATCCTTTTTCTTTTTTTTTTTTTGTTAATTTCCACGTTATCGGCGGCAACAAGGGAAAAAACACGATTCTAATATTTCGCTCAGAATCGTTTTTTTTTTTTCGTTTACAACGTTATATCGTGACCATGTGGAATATATAAACTAAATTACTCTCGGGTTGGGGGGGGGGGCATACCATCTCAACTAGTCACTTACAACAGTGGCCTATCCGTGGGCATTATCGATTTTTCGTACGACTCACATTCGTAGTCATTACCGTCAATAAGAATTTCCCCAAACGACTTAGGTCAATTGTATACGTACGTAAGTCGTATATTACTATCGCCGGAAAATATTTACCAGAATTATTACAATGTATATTACGACCGCGGCGTATAGTAATAGGGTCGGATCGGCCGGAGGGTAGGTATAAAGAGATTCCCTGACCGGAGGGTCCCTGTTGCCGTCGTGTTCCAATATGTTAACATTCATAAATCATCGTTTAAAGGGCCCCTGCCCTCTAGCCCGCCCCCGCCT